TGTGTGTGTGTGTGTTTGTGTGTGTGTGTGTGTGCGTGCATGCATGTGTGAGTGCAGTTCAGCGTGAACACACCTGCACACCTACACACACAAACACCACTGCACTCAAGCGAGTGCTCACTCCATACATGCATATGAAAAGTTTATTTGCAAAAACCAATAATTCTGTTTTTCAAAAACCATGTTTTTTATTATGTTATCATGTTTTATTGTGTTAGTTAGCTGTTTTTTTTTGTTTGTTTTTTTTAGCTTAATCAAAATAACCCAACTGCAATTTGATTGAGATTAATTGGAATGCACAATGAAAAAGCATGATTCCTGAGAATTGTTAAAAATGGAGTTATCTGTTTTTGCAAATGAACTCTTCATATATATATATATATATATATATATATATATATATATATACATATATACACACACAAATGCTCTGTGCTCACACCTACAGCCACATTGCGCTCACTCCATAAACACATGTGCAAGTGCTATAATGTGCACACAAATACACACCCTCATTCCCTATGCTTATAAACTTGTCTGCCCCCCCCCCATATGTTCTCTCTCTCTGTCCATGCATGCACAGAGGCTAGATTTATGGTTGGCCATATTGTAGGGTGTCACTGTTGTTCTAGAGCTCACCTGTAGACCTTAGCATGTGCTGTAAGGATGACTCAGAGGTGAGCAGGGTTGCTCTGGCTGCAGGCGCAGTGCTGATCACTCGCTGGATCCAAGACACAAAGCAAATAATAGCTTACTGTGTGTGCAAGACAAACTTTGTGTTTCCTTATCTAAAAAAATATTGATTTCACTAAAGCCTGTGTATATAATGGATTTTTTTTACATATTTTTGCACTATGATAGGTCGTCTTAAATAAAGCACATTATAATTTTTGTTTCGTAAAGGATTTTTTGTTCAACCAAAGCTGTGTATTAAAATGCTTACCTATATATTGTTGCGTCTTTAAAGAGTGTGATTTGTTATATATTGTTATATTGCCATCTGTACATGATTAATGTAATACAGAATTTTACAATTTAATCTTTTTGTAAGGCTACAGTCAGCTACTAATCAAGTACTTAATTTAATGAATCAATCTGCCTTTCATGTCATTAAAATAAAAAATGTAAGTTTTAATGCACTGTAACAGACATACCCAAACGTTTTACTATGAATGTCCAAAAATCTAACTTAATTGAGTGCTGCATTATATCCAATTATATTACATGAAAAAAAAAAAGAAAAATGCTTTTAAGGTGAAACCATAAAAATCTAAATATTTCCATAGACCATACAATACTTTTTGGTGGCTTTGTTTCTGCTGAGTTAGGTAAGATGTTTTTTTTTGTTTTTTGTTTTTTGTTTTTTCACTTTGGCTACTATGCTGATAAAAAAAAACTAATATTACAAATATGCCTTCTCTTTAGTCAATTAAATATTTGTCAATATGACTTGATTATATTTCTACAAATAGCAAGAAATCTAAAATGTGGTTTTGTCTGGTGTAGTTTATTTATTATTATTCTTAACTGTAACACATACAACATATATTAGAAGGTGTCATACTAAATACCTTTAATACATTAAATACAAAAGTTTTACCACAAATTGTTCTCTGAAACTGTGTAGCTGTTTTTGAAAACAAGTGAAATACAATGTGAACAGCCCCAAGAAATGTATTTGGTGCCAGATGAACCTAAAACCAGCCTAATTATTCAGAACTTCATTGAGATTAGTTGACTAGATTAAAGCAGTCCACAGAGTAGTCCATTTTAAATGCATTTAGTTTTGAATGTTGCTAGTTACGTCTACCTGGCAGATGACTGAAGCTCATTTGTTTCAGGTTGCTCTTTCTCTCCCGTTCGACACACATGGCTGCCATGTGGCTGTCAGTCTGATGCCTCAGCTTACAAGAGGCTTTATTAGACTGACTTTTTGGGGTTAGTCTGTGTCATGATCCCCAACAGCGCTCTGTTTGTATGGATTTTTGTGATCCTTTGAGTCTCACTGTGAGCTGAAATAGACCTTTTACACTATGAACAGAGCCCTCAGAGACTGTCTCATCTCCAGCAGATGATCTCTCTTTTTACTTCATTTTTAATGTATTTTTTCTCTCTCATTCACTTTCTTACTCTTTATAACGTCAGGCATGGTAGAAAATCAGTTTTTCCTTGACTCTTTCTCGTATCACTTGTGTGCTCTCTCTTATTCTTCGATAAGCAACTCTTCTAACTCTTTCTCTCTCGTTCTTGCTCATTTTTTCCATTGCTCGTTTGTAAGTAATGAAACACAAGTTAGGACCAGCCTCAGATGAAGGCAATGAATGAAAGGCATTCTGGGAATACGAGTCTTGGCCTGCCTTGTGTGTGTGCCTGTGTGTGTTTCTAGTTTGAGACAATGACACACTGATTCACTCAGTTGGAGTTTACACATGAACACCCAGGGCTGTTCAAACCCAACAAACTGACTCAGAGGATCACCCTTTGGTACTTACCTCTCCTCTAGTTGGCTCCCTGTAAAGTGGCAACCCCTCAAGGCATCCTGTATGGTGATAACCCATGTTTTTGTTGCATTGTATAAAAATGGAAAGTCCTGAGATGCTAGAACAAGTAGGGTGGAAATTTGGCTCTTATGTCTGGCCTTGAGCAGCCCTGGAGGAAAGTTCATATGTTTTCAAGCAGGAGCTTATCAGAGAGTGTCTATGTGATTTGTGAGAACATGTTCTGCAGATGTGTTTGATTGAAATTAAATATGTTTTTAATGGTGCATGCAGTAATATGACACTGGTCTTGTACTTTATACTGACCTAGCAGCCTCACATAAACTGTTGGTTACTGATGTCAAATACTGATGCCCTATTTGCAGTAAGCCATTAAATATGTTTTCAGAAGGTTAAAAATGTGCAGTGACAGGGTTACTGAGAAAAAAAATTACTTTATTTTTGAATTGTACATGACAACATGCCACATTTAGATGCAGTTTTATAATATTTTGAGACTCAAATTAAAATATAAGTAAGATCGCTGGCTAAAGTCTGGAACACCTCAATTTTAGGTCTAATTTTGACAGATTACATCTAATTGGGTGATTTTTGTATCTACAGTAATTAGATGGATTGTGTCTTAATGAGTAGCCCATATGGTGGTCCTGAGACTTTGTAACTCATTTTTGATTTGCTGAATGGATAGATATATAGTTAAGTAGACAAATGGTTCAGGTTTTTAATCACCTGGACAACCATAGAACTAGATAGCAAAGGTTGCACTGCCCCCATATTCAGAAGCTTACCAGGATAGTTTGCTGTGAAATCTTTGCTCATTTCTATAATGTAAACACAAGAGTAACTTTTATATTGTAAGTAATATTTCAAGATGATCACTTATTGGACTGAAGTATCTTAGGTTCACTTGATTTTCCATGCATATTTTTTTAATAAATTATGTTAATATACTTTTTGCATAAATAATTGTTACAATGCAAGTATCAAATCAGAGACATGAGGCTTTTGTGGAATATTTATTTGTACATCTCTCAATCATCGTGTTGTTTTACATTATATGTTTTTCCCCTTACAAAAAGAAACTCCATAGCTTTGATCATAAATCTAAGCTTTTAAATTGAAATACAAAAATGTTTTGCTTATACTGATATAAAGATCTCATTGATTTACATGGTGTACAAGCTATCAGAACTTTTATTTACTTTTTGATAATATAAATATCGGCAACTGCAGCAAATCAAATATTTTTGCTGACTTTGGTCCTCTGGATAAAATTGAGGGGGGTTTTTTTCTTCAAGTATATTTTCTCTTATTTCATATGCCATAAGCCTATTTATCAAATATGATACTTGACAAAAAACATGAATCTTTATGGTTTTTTTATATATTTATATGTAACTTTTGTTATTTCATAAGTCAGGCTTTGCAGGGTTAAAACCCTTTTCCTCATAGAGTCTACAAAAGATTAATTCATTCGTTTTGGTTACAATGAGAGAATATAAATGGCAGATATGAAATATTAAGTACAGTTAAGTGTTAACTACGATAAAAATCAGACCCAGGAAAGCTGACACAAAAAAAAAAGGTTTTTGTTTTTATAATTAATGATTCAGGAAATTGTAAATGAAGAGTTACATTAACCATCTGTTTCAGTTGATGCTAGTTTTACGCTTGCCAGCAGGATATTTAATTCCACATAATGACACATAAAAGCTTTGTAGGATTTTGCCAGAAGTTTATTTTTCTTGAGTTTGTTTATCATAGTAGTAATAACAGAACAGCAGTGTTCCTGGCCTGACGAATTAGGACAGCGTGTGTGCTTATCACCGGGCTTTGTCAGTCTGGTTCCTGTTTGAACCTGCCCTCATGTGGGGTCCTCTTCGGTGTCCAGTGAATGTCAACATGTGCTGCTGCTGTACTACTACTGCTGAAGTTACAGGCAACCAAGGTCATTCTCATATTAGCAAAATGCCTTTTGAAACAGAAAGGAGTTGAGACACTATACAGTAACCTCATGTAAACAGCAGTCTCTGGAGTGTAATGCACCAGGTGATTATGAAACTGCTCGCAGTGGTATTTTTACTTTGAGAACAGTATTCAAACACTGCCCTTTACATTACCCCTTTTTTGCGATATATACGCATATGTACCCACTCATGATCATTACACATGCAAAATTACTCATTTTAGACATTCTTGGGATTATACTGCTGTTTGACTCATGTTAGACTCATGTCAAGCACTAACTTCAAAGCTGGAAATGTGTTTAAGAGTGTAAATTAGACCTGTGTCATGCTGTTTGTGCAGTTTATGTAATTTATGATCCATGAAGTGACTATTTTCCCTACCAGGATCAGTCTTAACCAGTTGGCTCTGGTCCCTTGGCTTTAATTTTCTGTCTGAAAGACGTCTGCGCAGTTGATTAGCTTCATGGCAAAGGAAAAACCTGAGATGACAGCATGTTTCCGAGAGGTCCTGCACCTCTCCACGGGCAGCACGTGGAGGCATTGTGCTATGAATAAAGTTATTCCATGCATCTTGCCATGATTCAACAATAAATAATGTTCTTCCACACATCTTTCTAAAACTCTTAATGGCTTTATAAATGACATCATTACCTGTTAGGAGCCCAAGCGACTTCTATGTTCCTGTCAGCAAGGGCAAGCAGAGTGAGACTGATCTGATTTTCATTAAAAAGTCTCTCAAGTAGCCCGCTGTTAAGTAGTCCCTCTGCTCATACAGCTCCAGCATTTCTAGCGCTCTTTCTTCAGAGAATTTAATGTCATTCATTATTCGTAGTCAGGTCAGTGTTGTATGCAGTCCCTGCATTGAGCTGACATTTTGATCTATTTGAGCAATTGAGCCTTGAAAGTTCACTATGTGGAAAAAGGCTTATCATTTGCAAGCAAACTTAATTTATCAATGTATTATTCTCCTGGCAAGGCACAATTTATCAAGTTTCACTCTGGATTCGGTGCAGAAGCACCTGTAGAAACATGCAGCTGTAGAGCTCCCCTCTGAACCTGATGAAACTTAAAGCTGATTGGCTATTTGTAATCTTAATCTCTAAAGCTTCAGCGGAGGGCTGGAAGACATGATGATGATGATGGTGGTGGTGATGAGGGGCAAATATTGGCACACAGAGTTCAGTTCAGGTCATTGTTTATGCTAGCTGTCCTAATATGTTGTTCCTGCGTATGCAGCTAACACTTTTCTTTCTTCAGATGGACGACCGCAGTGGGAGGTGGAGGCAAAGATCATCAGAGAGAAGAGTCAAGGAGTGAGTGAATATTTTCCTTTTTTCATGTTTAAGAAAATATTTGCCAACAAAAGCACAGACAATACACAAGACATAAATATGTCTACAAACCCTTTTCAGTCTTTCTTGAACTAAAAGTTGAAATGCCCCTTTGAGTCCATGAGTGTTTTTAACGCATGAAAGATTTGAGCACATTGTAGTATGTTTTGACTATATTTGAACTTTGTATTCTTCAGTGAGACAACTTTGATAGGTTTGTCTCAGACATCAATGATGTGTTGTTTAGTAAAGTTATGTCTCTTGTCTCCATCTGTAGTCTAGCATCATGGTGGAGGTGCCTCCTTATCACAGTAAGACGGTCACTTCAGCAGTGCAGGTGCAGTTCTATGTGTGCAATGGCAAACGGAAAAGGAGCCAGTCACAGCGCTTTACCTATCTGCCAGGTACGTATTTGACATCACATTATAATGCATTTCATATCACGGCACTTACTTCCCGAAATTGGAGCTTTATAATAAAGTAACTACTTGTTGCTCTTCATTAAGCAGTGTCATGTAATAAAATGTAATATACACTTAAAGATCAAAATCTTTGAAATCAGAAATCATTGTAATATGTTGATTTGGTGCTAAAGAAGCATTTCCTATTATTATCAGTGGTGAAAACAGTGCTACTTAACATTTTATCAGAAACTTTGATACTTTTTTTCCAGAAAAGAAATAATGATTTCTATGGGGGAAAAAACTTACCCCAACCTTATGAACAGTACTGTATCTTATATAAGTGCATAAAGGCAAATAAAACCTCACAGGTTCAAGTTTAAATGAGTTTAATATAAAATGTACGTGATGGCATTTTCATATATATATATATATATATATATATATATATATTATATACCAAGTTCTGTCATTAAACTCTAGATGGCGCAGGCTGATGGGTCCTTAACGTAACTGATGATATTCTTAGCATTAAACGAGCTGATTGGTTCATGTTGCATACGCAGCCAATGAGCTTGCTGCTTTACATTTAAATGGCTGATTAGCATTCACTTGAGCATTGCAGCGCACTTTCAGAGTTCCTCTGAAACCCTCCACCTTCCCCAGCTCCATCTGTATAGATCTGCTACGGGGTTATTTTATATGATATTTGTGCAGCAGCAGGATGTCTTAAATACTCACAGCACCGTATCGGCTTATGTATTGGCAGTAGCAAGTTCCTGTACTTACTTGTGGCAGCAATAATCTACAAATAGGGCAATAACCAACAGCAGCAGCAATTCAGCAGCAGCGTAGCAGATCTGTTCCACCAAGACCAAATACATTAACATTGTCAGAACCATTACCGTGCTAAAATCTTCAGAGAGTTCTCATGATAGAAATATATATATATTAATTGCAAGCAAATGCTATATAAAACATATTGAATTGTGTTATTATTGCATTTTGGAATTTGTGGCGAATGCAGCTTAATATCCACCTTACATCAAGAATTGTGTCTGATTCTGGCCTCACAGAAATCATGTGACTCAATTAAATGCAAAATAGTTTTCTTGCTAACTTCACATAACAGTAACAAGAATGGCACACACGTGGGTTTTCACAGCAGATTCACCCAATTGATCATGCCAGCGTTCCTCTGCACTGTGCACCAGTGTGGTTAGGGATGAGGTTGTTCCAGTAACAGTTGAGCACCTGGTAACCGCTCATGTAAAACACCTTAAAGAATCAATTTGCATGATTTACATGTGGCTGGAAGCATGAAAATCCAGGGTTTTTAAGAACTGGACCCCTTCAATGTCTTTGTCTTTCTGTTTATCTTGCTCTTGTTAAACCCTATCATTCTTTTTACATCTCCCATTGGCTTCATCTGTCTTAATAGTCATATTTTGCAGAATTGCTTTGCATTTTGGAAGATTTTCCCCTATGATAAATCTGTTGAACGATGAGGTCAATGATTCACATGGTTATTATAATTTGTCACACATGTTGAGTTGATATGCATTATTACATCAGCAAATTATTAGCTCTGCTTTTGAAATTAACATTGAACATCTGATTAAATAGTCCAGAATCCAGGGCATAGTATAAGGCGACATCTAATTATGGCTTAGAGAGTTTCGTGTAGTGTAGTCGTGTGTGGTTCTCATAGCAATAAGCTGGTTTGGTATTAATTTCCCAAAGTGAGTCAAACCGAAAAACAGCGTTGGCGTAATTAAATCACACGTGAGCAACTTTTTTGTGTGTGTCTCTGTCTCCGAGTTGCAAGCTAGCCTGTAGAAGAGATTGAGAACAAAAAGAGAGGGAGAGTAAGAGAGCAAGATAAACCCAGCCTCCCGCCCACCCTCTTCGCTCCACAAAGCACCCACTCAAATTAGGGTTTCCTGTTTTCCACACTAACCCATTGGGCCTCAGCCAATCAGACGACAGCACAGGCAGCCAATATTCTGAACAGGCCACGCAACTGTGGTTGCCATGGCATCGGCCCGCTGAGAAAGTGGCATGTCTGGGGGAAGGGCTGAGGTGCTGTGTTGTTAGACTAGAGCCAGACTCTTCATGTGTAATGAATAAGCCGGCTAATACAATGAGCAGAGATCTTAATCCAAATTCAAATTAAATACAGTGTGAATGCTTTTGAACCTGCGAGGAAGTCGTTTGTAATAAACCTAATTAAATGTCTGAGGCTTCTTTGTTGGTCACAGACAAATCCACCAAATCTGGAAGTGAATGCTATTAGCTGCATTTATCAACTGAAACTAAACTTTTTTTTTTCGAATGCATTGTAGGTACACAGTGAGTAACACCAGACTCAAATGCATTCACACTCTCTCCCACACATGGTCGCCACTTGCTCTTCATATCAGGAAGCTACAGTTTTACCGCAGTAATGACCTTGCAGCAGCGTATGTGCTGTGAACTGAATTTTGGTTCCCATTTGGAGCTATGCTGGAGGGCAGACAGCATTCTTAAGTTTCCAAATTCAGCACTGGTTTACATGGCACTCAAGCAGGTGGCATCGGCCCGCTGAGAAAGTGGCATGTCTGGGGGAAGGGCTGAGGGGCTGTGTTGTTAGACTAGAGCCAGACTCTTCATGTGTAATGAATAAGCCGGCTAATACAATGAGCAGAGATCTTAATCCAAATTCAAATTAAATACAGTGTGAATGCTTTTGAACCTGCGAGGAAGTCGTTTGTAATAAACCTAATTGAATGTCTGAGGCTTCTTTGTTGGTCACAGACAAATCCACCAAATCTGGAAGTGAATGCTATTAGCTGCATTTATCAACTGAAACTAAACTTTTTTTTTTTCGAATGCATTGTAGGTACACAGTGAGTAACACCAGACTCAAATGCATTCACACTCTCTCCCACACATGGTCGCCACTTGCTCTTCATATCAGGAAGCTACAGTTTTACCGCAGTAATGACCTTGCAGCAGCGTATGTGCTGTGAACTGAATTTTGGTTCCCATTTGGAGCTATGCTGGAGGGCAGACAGCATTCTTAAGTTTCCAAATTCAGCACTGGTTTACATGGCACTCAAGCAGGCAACATATGCTCTCTTAGAGTCCAGTAAAAATATCCCCCACTCATGCGGGCCAGGGAAATGGCAGATTGGGAAATGGGTTACTGTACACTGTGTTACTATTACTCATTGTCTGTGAGAGGAGAGGAGAGGAGAGGAGAGGAGAGGAGAGGAGAGGAGAGTTTGGTGGAAATATTGACTCAATGAAATATGTGCAAGTTTTATATTGGGCATAAATCTTGTTAGTCATGTAATGTTGCTGTCAGTTTTATTGGAGATGGGAAAAGGGATAAAAGTTAATTAGTGCTGTGAATCTATTAAACTTATAAGAAATGGCCAAATCAGTATGGTTAATCAGTTTGGTATGCTAATGCCATTATGTAATGCCTTTATGAGATCTCAATAACTCTCAATATGATAACAATAGAAGTATAAATAAAATACTTGAAGGCATATTACTGACATTACTGAAAAGTACCAAAGATGTGAAACAAGATAATTACTGTTCAGGCTAATTCTGTGACATTTTTTAGCTAACAACATTTCAAATGGTAAGATTTTCTTGTCAAGTTTTCTCTTTGTTCCTTTTTTCACCCATATATTTATCTCTCTTCCTCCCTCCACCCTTCCAGTCCGGGTCAAGCAGGAACATAGAGATGATCTGGACTCCCCTGCTGTGCCGCCCATGTCCATGCCTCTGGTCCATGCTGCCAGTTTGGTCTGTACTCAGCCGCTGTCCTCCCCAGAGCACTCCCACCCACCAGACGGCCTTCTGTCCAGCTCGCCACGTGGCCTGGCTGCAGGCCTGCACCCTCTCCAGGCCCCCTGCGCCCCAATGGGCTCCCCAACTCTTCCCCACCTGCCCCACCTTCAGGCTCAAGGGCTGAATGCACCTCCTGAATGCCAGATGCCCTTCCACCCAGGCCCTGCTGCCACTGCCAGGCTGTCTTACCCACCCAGTATGACCTTCTATGAAGCAGATTTTTTTTGTGGAAACTGATACTGATTTTGCAACATTATAAAATGTCTTTAGTATCAATTTTGATCAAATTAATTTGATCAAATATTAATTTCTTTAAAAAAAAAATTTTTTTTGAATGGTACTGTATGTGTCCATTTTTAGTTTTGTGAAGTTGTCAAAGAATTACATGCACGTAATGAGGTCATGTGGCAGCATGAACCATACAGTAGTGTACTACTAGTTAACATTATTTTTGTGTCTTTAAAAATATACAATATTCAGTGTGCACTGTGCAGCATACAGTAAGCAGTACACTAGTATTCCATTCCAAACATAGCCAGAGCGGGAGAGCTTGTTTCTCAACTTCTGTGTTTATGTGGATATTTTTGCTGATGGTGTGTTTATGTGAGAAGCTCAGACAACAGACCACAATGGATTCCTTATTCACAACTCTGCAATTTATTATTGAAAATTCAAGTGCTTTGTGGGCTGTATCACTCTGAACCTGGTGCATCTATCATATTTCTTTTTTCTTTTCTTTTTTTCATGGATGACTGATGAGCGAGTTCAAGCTAATGCTGTAGTTCATCAGCACAGATACCAGCAATGTCGCCAGAATTTGCTTTCTGGAATTCTTCAATTACATATTCAAATGTGCAGTCTGACAGAGTTAATGAACAGCTTGTGTCACTCAAATTAGACCTGTGTGTGTGTGTGTAGTGAAGTATGAGTCCAGAAGGATCCAGTGTTTGTCTGAGTAATTAAAACTGCCCTCACTATATGTAGCCATGTGTACAACACACAAAATTCACATTCTTGGCCAACTGCATACTATTTCACAGATGTGCACAGGCTAATTCACTGTTTCAAATCACACACTCACACAAGACACGTGGTTACATGCATACACGCTCAATATTTCAGAGTAGGCATGCTCAGCCACACAAAGTATTCATTGCCTACATGTTGCTCACATATAGCGTTAGATATCCTCATGCATTCAGTGTGTGAGATGGGATGGAGTTGAGCCTTTTTAAAAGTGAAGTTTGAACTGATTTCACCAGGGACTGTATCCTCCCTAAAGCACACACTATAAATAGGGTCTGTGTCATTCTCTGACTGAAGCTCTTGAGCACTGTGAGTTGTTAAGGAGGTCAGAAATGAACTGCAAATAGAACAGAACACAGCTCCAGTCACTGACATAAACCTTCTTTCACGTCAACATAAAGCTGTCACTATGATTGAAATGTATGGCATGTTTTGCTAAAGCATAACCTAATGAATAAATTTAAAAATGATAAACACAATTTGAAAAAATACACTGTTATGTATTTATACATAATTATTTACTATATTCCATATAATATTCATATTATGTATTAATGTTATCGTTAATTTCATTTTAATATAAACTCCACAGCTATCACTACTATATGTTACTAAAGCATTACGATTTATTAATTTAAATATTATTATTATTATTGAATTGATAGGAACCATGTAAAAACAATTTAGAAAAGTCCAAATAAAATTGGCAAAAATATCAAATGTCACTTTTAATTTATCAATAATCAGGGATGCAAACTTGTCACCTTTAGGTGAAATTCGCCGTTTTTAATTCAAAACGGGTCATTTGTGTGATTCGTGAAGATCCGCTGAGTTTTTAAAATTGTTTGGGGGGGGGGGGGGGGGG